CTGTTGTGCTGCAGTCTACCACATCTATTTCCAAAGCTCAGTCTGAAATCTGCTTGCTGCTCCTCCCGCTGAGACGCTGGCCGGCGTCCGTCAGAGAAACCGGGGCATGTTGACACATTTGGTGGAAACAGCGCTGAGAGCGTTTACACCCTATTTCAGTTATTGTTCACCAAAAATGCTCTTTGCCTCGGGACGTGGCATCGTCTTTAACTTGGCGACATTTACCCGCCGTAGGGATTCTAACTCCAGGAAAATGGGCACACCAAACATGGCGTTTTGAAATATTCCTCATTTTTCCCCCCAACTTGCGGATGCAAGCTCTGGTAACGGTTTTATTTTGGGATTGCCTCTGTTTTACAGAAGTATTGCTGAAATATGCCAAAGCACCGGCGGTGAGGTTTGAGGCTTTGTGTACGCACTTTGACATCTCAGGGAAAAAGCTGCTATTGTTGCCTTTACAAAGTGTGATGGTCCGCAGCGCTACTTAAGACAAAGCTTTAGAACATTTAGTGAAGACGAAAAAAGTTAGAGAGTAGAACTGGGCCATAAAGAGACAGAGGGACTGCAGTCTCCGCGTTAGCGATGAAAGTTTGATCAGGATAAATTACAGTTAAATTACTTTTGAGACACTCTGGTCAGTTGATTACTTGATAATAATAATAATAATAATAATAACAAAAGTGTTTACTGTAGTGATTAGGGAGTTATTAGTTACAGCACAATCAGAATTATTTTATTGATCCAAAACCTTATGGTCATAAACATCAAGAGGATCACGACTTCACTGAGCACCAGGGTTCCAGCAAACCCGCTAAAGCAATGGTGCAAAAGTATTCACACTCTCAATCCTCAGGACCCCTTCCAGAATATCTGTGGGTCTTTTGGCTACTTTTCTGATTATTTTTTTTCTACATCCTATCATTGTGATTGTGTTAGTCCTTTTTTTCTCCAGATGTTCAAAGCTTTGGATCTTGTTTTGCCAAACTAAGCCTTCTTTAAGCTTCACCAGAACTTCAATTGTTACGAGACATAATGTAGAGAAGACCTTTGTTACTCAATTATATCCATACATAGCTAGCCAAGCTTCCTCAGCTCTCTAATCATGCGCCCTCACCCATTTGCAAAGTTTGCCACATAATAGCTTCAAAATGGCTTTTTGTTGTTGTTGTATTTTTTTTTATATGATGAATAAAGTAACTGATTTGAGCAGCGTTAATTACGTTAATCACTTATGTTTTTTTGAGAATGATTTTCAGACAGGCAGATGCAGAGTAAACCCGGTGGCCTTTGCGGGGTCCTGGCTCGTTCTCCCGTTACAAGCATGGAAACTACAGCCTGTAGAGCCGTTTCTCTGAGCCACATTCAGCTTCTTGATGGCCGTGGATCAGTGAGCGTTTTAATTGCATGAGGTGTTTGAACTCCCTGCACTCTCTATTCAAAACCAGGAGAATATACACTGAGACGGTGACTATTTGGTTGTATGGATATTAGATGTTGAACCCATATTTAAAAGACAGCATATAATTTAGTTTGTGAGCACATTTCATTGTTATCTGAGCATGACTGATGAGGCTCCGCAATTCAATGCATAATTTAAATAAGCTAATTAGTCATCAAACCAAATAATACTAGAAATTTACCAACAGTAGTGCTCATTCAGGTCCTATTTTCCACAGGGAATTGTGCTTAGAGCGCCATTCTGCTGCTAATTCTATCCAGACATCCTAAATATGGCTGTGTGTTATTATAACAGCTCCAGACAATATACCTAGTGAGGGTGAAAAGCAGCTTGGACTTCATTTATAGTCATGTCCTACATTCAGAATACAGTCCTGCAGACTGATAATGCATCTCTAGGGAGGATAGCTGAGGCGATAAGGGTTATGTTGGTGATTTTTTTTATGCACTAGCTTTAAATTTCAGCACCTCTTTAACAGTGTTTTTTTCCCCCGCCGTAAGCTAACTTTTGTTTTTCTTTTTCTTTTGCTTCTCCCAAAGCTTTGGATATTAAGACTATTCAAAGGAGAAAAGATCAATATGTTGTAATCTGAGAGAAAATGATTCTGAACTTTGATGGCGTGTTCATTGACATAAGCAGCAACTGATTAGATTTGATTCATGACAGTTCATGACCGTCTTCGCCGTGTACTGATGGGCCAAATTACGGTGCCTTCCAGAAGTATTCACCTGTAGCTTTTCTCCATTTTGTTTTGTTACAATCAGAAACATCAATATGTTTTATATTGATTTTATGGGCTAGACCAACACTAAGCAGTCTGTATTTGTGCAGGAGAAGGGTATGCTGTTTTCTAGGTTTTTTTTTTGTTTTTTTTTACACACAATCTGAAAAGTGTGGCGTGCTTTTGCTTTCAACTCCACTTATTCTGATAATACTACATAAAAACTGTTTTAACCAACTGCCTCCAAGACAGTTATAAAGATGATTAATGATTATTCAGCGTCATAAAGGTAGAGGAACACAGCTGAGAGGTCAGGGAGAAAGTTGTAGAGATGTTTAGGTTATAAAACAATATCCCAAGTGTCGAACATCTCCGACAGCGCAGGTCAAGTCATTAGTCAGTAATCTGAAAAGCGCAGCACGACTGCAAACCAGAAAAAAACAGCAGCAATGTATCTTTTTCACAACCGCGCATCTTGATTAAATTCATCGTTCACAGCTCCGGTCCTCTCGGAGTCGCCGTATACTGCATATGCGCAAACTCTTCTTGCATGAGAGCCGCTCCTGTGTTGTTTATGATTCCCATAAAAATGCCATTTTCTTCTATAAAGACAAGTTACATTATGGGAAAATCCTGATTCAGCTCTGCCACACTTGCTATGCACTTGTGTACTTTCTGTTTTTGGTGTCAGCGTTTTGTGTTTTGCGGCCTGATCAGGCAAAGTGAAGGTGACAGTGGAAGCGAAGAGGAAGGGAGCGGGGGAAAAGGTGCTCAGCTCAGGCATATGCACAGAAAGGAAATAATAACGATGATTCGCACAGAGAAGTCGCCGAGAGTGACAGACATCCAAATACTCTCGCTGTGACTTCTTATATATATATATATATATATATATATATATATATATATATATATATATATATATATATATATATATATATATGTATTCCTGGATTTGTCCTTTAGGCAAAGTTACTTACTTTAAACAGCTAAATCTACTTGCGGTAGGATGAGGTAAACTAGCTATTACTTATCGTCGCACCATTGAACACAATAGGCTTTATAAACTCATAAACTTGCATTCGCTCATTGTTTTTCCTGTTAATATTAATACAGAACGCACAACGCCGGCGCTCGCTGGCTGTCGGGTACACGGACACTGTGAATGGATTATACTTGTCGACAGCGAGTTGTCTGAATACTGAAGTGGACTGAGTGTTGTTGTACACTTTGGAGAGTAATTGCGCATAACTGCTTACATATCTGCAACACGTTATGAAGATGAGCAATGGTTGCTCGTCCCGTTCCCTAACATGGGTTCCTAACATAGAAATTAGTACGGATGAGCGCGTTCTCCCGGGGTAATTTGGTGAGCTTCCGAGGGCGATGCATTTCTCATACGGCGTTTCGCTCGTGCTGCCGGTGCCTCGCCCCAGACGAAGCAGTTGTTGGGGTGTGGTTGGACAGAGGTTGTCTTGTGAAGTTAAAACTGGGATCGCTCTTTTCCTTTGGTTTGTTATTTTGTTTGTATTTCCTTTTGACTCATGTAAAGCACTTTGATTTGCCTTGTTGTTGAAAGTGTGCTATATGAATAAAATTACCTTACCTTATACCAACACTTTACTAGAACTCACATTGAAAATGATTGTTCTTTCATAAAATACTGCAGTGATTTACGGCGTAAGAATATTTACATCCCACGAACTTTGTCATATTTTGTCACAGGCAGGTCAGGGATAAAGTTGTTTTAGAATGTTTGTTTGTTTTTTCTTACTTTACTTGTTTCAGTAAATAACATACATATGCCAAAATTTGCCAGGGAGAGCATGAATTAAAACATAATGAGAAGAAAATGACTGTCAAAATAGTCAAAATACTCTTAATTGTACAAATTGCAACACATGTGCCAGACAGCGTGTCAAAGTAAATTAACTTTGACACAAGTGACAGTGAAAAACCGAATGATCCGACTGCACCCTGATGACACCGTCCTATACGGACTAAGGTAAGAGCAGGAGAACCGTTTGGGAACAAAAGTTAGGGAACAAGCCTGTATTGTTGTTTTTGCTTTTTGATTAGTTGAAGATGATGTATGTAATTGTAAACATGTTCTGTGTTTAAAAACAATAAAAAGAAAAGAAAATCTGGTTTTCTCTTCAGAAGTCAGGGATAACATTATGGACATGTCAAAAGGAGAATTAAGTTAAAGAATACTGTTTAATACTGCTCAAGTCATTGTGTAAGGTGGTGCATTCCTGCCAAAAACCCAAAGGACCTTATTAAGCAATTACAACAGAGCATGTATAAATAGAGAGAGCACAAAGTTCTCGCGAGAAAATTGTTTAGTGTGCATATTTGTGAGTTTGGGATGAAACTCTTCTGATTGATCTGATTGGCTGGATTTTACACCAATCAGACTAGATGTCAACTATCACCAATCAGGTGATATTCAGCACAGGACTTGACCTAAAGGGAGAAGAAATCGAGGAGGAGGTAAAGGTGGACGAAGGAAAAGATCCACAGGACAGCGAAGAAAAGGAAAAAATCAACAAACTTTATTTTATCCTTACCTACTTATTTTTCTTTGCCCTTCTTCCTCTTCCTTCTTGCTCTTTGTCTTCGAAAAAGATTTGCAGCTGTCACTGCTAGAATTTTCAAGTTTTTTTTTCCCCACAATACAAAATTTTGAAAACCATGTATACAAGTGTGTCTCTTTTTCACAATTAACACTAATAATCAGCTGAAAACGGTACTTTTAAGACAATCAACATGTCGAGGCTCATTCTTTGCTTCGTGTTCCTTGTTCCTTTGCCCCTTCAGGTCCTCCAGTCATCGTAGGGATGAGCATCAACATAGCCAGTATCGACTCCATCTCAGAAGTAAACATGGTGAGTTGCGTTCTCCTTGGTCTTGTGTTTGTCCCCGCCTCCACCGTCCACAGGTCGACAGTATCTGTGCCGCTGGGAGGCTTCATCCACAACTCTGCTGCCTGGTTGTGAAACTAACCAAAGACGGAAACTAAGCAAATACTTGATCACGCAGTGAAACTGAAAACATTTCCTTTTGGGGGGTAAGCAGTTAATTTGTTGGCAACTAGTGAGGCAGGCTGAGCAGAGAGAAATACAATATGGCTGATGTCTAAGAAGTGACGTCACTCTGTCTGTCAGCTCTTCTCTGATGTCAACCGCAGGCAGAGTTCAGCTCCTTTTCTTCCACTTTCTCCTTCTTTCCTTCCTTCCATTTATATTTTTTGCTGAATTATCCATTAAGTCTAAGCACAGAGCAGGTTACCTATCTATTAATCACTTTAGATCTTTTTTATTATTGTCCTGTTTTTATTGAAGCTTCCAAATGTCTCCTTTTTACCATTTTCATTTTGTGCGTTCATATTTCGCAGGACTACACCATCACAATGTATTTCCAGCAGAGCTGGAGAGACAAGCGTTTGGCCTACGGAGAGCTGAAACTGAACCTGACTTTGGACAACCGTGTAGCAGACCAGCTGTGGCTCCCTGATACTTACTTCCTTAATGACAAGAAGTCCTTTCTTCATGGAGTGACGGTGAAAAACCGAATGATCCGACTGCACCCTGATGGCACCGTCCTATACGGACTAAGGTAAGAGCAGGAGAACCGTTTGGGTTTCTAGTGAGTCTGTCCAACACTCCTAAGAACGGCAACAACGAGAAGCGCTGTTGTGATGACGCGCTGGAGGCGGAGAGTCGGAAAGAGTAGGAGCTTCTTAAAGAGACAGAGGCCAATTTCAAGGCTTAAACTACAAGGTCAAGTTTCTTTTAAGTCATGTTAGATCAATACAACATTTCTGTAATAACTGAAGGTAACATGCTTAGTTGATTATGCTATAAAATGGCACTATGTGTCCTTTAAGAACTAATGGAATTTCCCTGGTGTTTGTCAGGATTTGCATTTTTGATAAGCTTCTTGCGTTATCTTTTGCAGGATTCAACATTAAAAGGAGATGTGCAGGACAATAAAGTATAGAAAAAAGACAAAAAAAACTGTATAGATTAGAATCTATACAGTTTTCTTTCTTAAATCATGTATTTAAGAAAGAGAAAAAAAAACCCACTCCAGACCTGATACATGAAAAATGCATCGTCCTTCAGTTTCAGATACTTGGTAATTTGTTTTTTGTGCTAAAGTGCTTTTTTATGTCAGCCAAATTATGTTTATTTTGTCTTTTCATTTTTGCTATTGATTCAACTAATAAATGGGAAGAAACTTAGAAAAAGGTGATAGTCAGAGTTTACCTGTCACATACTTACTTTTTGTTTTGTTTGACCTCTGACCTACCACTTAGTTTGTTTCCAATTTTCATCCTAAAAATCCTAAAAATATTGGCCATAAAGCGCAAAAAAACCCAAAACTGTGCCAGGTTCATCGACAGTGAAATGAAGGCATTGTGAAATTATTCCTATTTTTGCATCAACCCATATGTAATGAACCTATATTTTAGTTTTTACAGACTAAAAAAACAAACAAAATATTCATTTTTGATGTATTAAATTAGCAAGATTTTTTTTTAATATTTTATAAATATTATACCAGAGCTGATCGAGGGAAAATGGTCAGATTCAAATCGCTGACCGATGAATTTCTTCAACTAAGTGAATTATGTCTTTATGACTGATTCTTGTCAGAAAGTGCTGGGAAGTAGCATTTAAATTTGGATCTGTGCCTTAAATTGACGAGACACTAAATCATTCCTTGAGTTTTGGAGCCTTATTTAATGCTTAAATGAATAAGATCTACGATAAGTGTTTTACATAAAATCAAAGATAAAATTTCACTAAAAATAAATCAAATAGCAGACAAAGTGCAAAGAAAAAAAACAAAACAAAAAAAACATTACTCACTGCTGCTATCGATAAAGATCGCTGAAGAAGATTAAAAGAAATTTTACTGGAAAGAAATAATGAAAAAATAACATTTTAAATGATGAATGGAGAAATTTGCACAGATTTCTTACGCGAAATTATGATTTGAGCTCATAATTTCAATATCAACCTCGAGGCAATCTTGCCCTGCGATGCAGTCGTCTATGTCTCGGAGAAGCTCACAAAGCTTTAATAATTCAGGAAGTTGAAGTGTCTGAGAGAAAAAAGTATGGATACAGGAAAAACTTATCATGCATGCTAAGATACACTTCACCTTCCTCTGACCCTAAGTAAGTGGTTATACTGTATCATGAGGATTTAGAAAAAGGATACATTTCAATTAATAGTGCAAAAAAATATAAGAATTTTATCTAATAAAAGCTATAGATAGAGAAGACTAAAACAAACAGAATGAGAGTAAGAAGAACACATTGACATCACCTGTAGCTGTAGAAAAAAAATAATAAAATCATCATCCCTGTTTGTATGCATGTTTGGCCCCAGGACAGGATGAAAAATGACAGATTTATATTTGGCACTAGCAAAGCAGCCTTTAAAGTGTTATTTTTAAAGCAAAGGGTCCGCTAACGTGACTCCAGATATATACTCAGTGTTTCTCGAAGAACGAGAGGCACACTCCGACGACACATCCACTGACCCTGGAAGCCTAAAAAAGAGGTGTAAAATCGTCAGCACCTCTCAGATCATTCTGACAAAGCAGACACTTAGGTCAACAGCAAATGTGAATAGTGGCACCCGTCGAAATTCCCATGGGTTGTTAAAAAAGTTAGATCGTTTTCGCTGAAAATCAGGAGTGATTGTTTTTTTTGTTTTTTTTTTCAAAGTCAGCTCACTTTAATATGGTACTGTGATTAATGCAAAGAAGCTGGTGATGTGTTTTGCTTCATTAAAGAGCTGTGGCAAAGTTCAGATTACGTTTAGGTTCTGTAATGTCATTCTAGAAGGATATAAAATGGAATGATAGTGCTAGCTTACTTTATGGCAGCTAACAAGCTTAGCTAACATAAAGTCAGTTAATTTACTTTCTGTACAGTTAGCTAACTTTACTGTTTGTAAAGTTAGCTAACTTTTAAAGTTAGCTAACTTTACAAAAAGTGTAGTTGGTTTACTAACTTTACTTTTTGAGTGTGTGTGCGCAAACTAACACACACACACGTGTGTAAGGTGACAATGTTAGCTTTCTTTATGTAAGCTAACAATGTTTGCTTACTTTATGTAAGCTAGCACACACACAAGCATGTTAGCTTTCTTTATGTAAGCTAACAATGTTCACTTACATAAAGCAAACAAAGTAGTAACAAAGTAATAAAGTATTATTTCTTTAATTCATGTTTAATGACTCTGACTTGCTGATTTATTGTAGTAGTAGAGAAAATATAATTTAATCTTTACTATTATTGTTACTCCAGTAGAAAGGTCGCCTCACTGGTCTCGAAGTTCAAAACAGGTAAACATGCCAGATTTCCGCTGGTGACTGTACAACAGAAACTACAGATTTCATACACTACAGAGAAAAAACACAAAAAAATTTCCGGTAATAAATATATAATACATTTTGCCCCAGCCTTGGTGTACAGTGAACAACAGTGAGAGTTAAAAACCAGAGCTACATTTTGTAAACACTTTATTCCTCATGCACCCAAAGTTTTTTAATTCGCAAAAAAACAAAAAGTGCAGTAGGCTAACTCTGCATATATTGGATAAACAGTTCTGCAACATTTAAATGCAGCGTGTGTGTTAATGTGTGTTCGACATAAAAAAAATTAAAAAAAAACCTTTTGACCACCGTTAATCAAAGCAAGTATAGGGACTCGGGAGAATTCAGTGGCAGGATTGTGCTAAATTACAGTGCGCCATCTGATCTGAATAAACATTCCCAGCTGCTCTGCTCAGCGCTCCCGAAGGCTCCGCTGGAACCGGAGAAGTACAAACAAGGCAAAATAACATCAGGGCTCCGGGCGGGATTTACACCAGCTCTGGGGAGGTTGTGCTTTTGCATGTGTGGAATCATTTAAATTTCCCCTCCCCTGTTAGCAGATCAGAGTATCCACACCTGACCAACATTTACCTATCACATTAGAGCACAACTACAATTTACTGAGCATTTTCAACTACATAAAATGCATTGCCATTTTTTTCCCCAGATACAATATCAAACCTTATTGCGTTTTAGTTGGATTGTTTGTGATAGAGTAACACAAAGTAGTGCTTAACATTAAACATTGAGTAATTTTCAACATTCAAACATCTGAAAAATGAGATGCACATTTGTACTCAGCCCCTATTACTCTGAAACCCCTGTATGAAGTGTGGTCATCTCATTTTCTCTAATTGCATGTTATGAAATAGAAATGATCGGCTTTCTAAATATTGCTTCCATAGTTGTAGCAGAATCCCAATGTAAGATGCAATAACGTTGACGGGTTTCTGTTGGTGGAAAAATCCATCCTTCCTCAAACGATATCCGTTGGTCTCATGTAGATGTCTGGCTGCAACTGATCAACTCTCAGTTCTTTGCTTTTTTTATGAATTGCAATGAATGCCAAGTATTTTGCAGACAGAAAAAAATGACAAAATAGTGAGAAAAGGTGAATTCAAAAAGCCCTTTTTTTTCTCTTTCTTAAAATATTATTTTAGAAAATTAGTCCTCAAAGAGGGGGTGGGGGGAAACCAAGTTTTATAATGATGGGTAAATATTCAGAAGTATAAATAGAACTCATTTCCAGTGATCATTTCTCTCAGCAGTAACGGCGTATGGCAGATGACATCAAGCCCAAGACCTTTTTGTTTTTTTTGTTTTTTTTTTTGCACTGTTCTGTAATTAGCGGCAGCTCATAATCTACATCCAGTGGCGTATCCAGGACCTTTTTACGAGGCTCCTGCAAGCATATAATTAAAGCGCTTTGTTGAAATGTTTGACTTTGCTCGAGGGTTGTATGGAGATCCTTATTATTATTATTATTATTATTATTTTACAGAACAAAAGACACAACCAACTATAGACATTTATAGTTTTTACTCCGGTTCATTTACATTTCGTGGCTCTCAACTTTGACTGTTACACACTGTGTGTGACACATTTTAACCCCGGCCGGTTGAATAAGTCCCCTCCCCGCCCCCCTGTGCCGACGTGTCTGAGCACAGGCAGAATGCGAACCGAGGACAATCACGCCCACAATAAACCCCTTTGTGTGGTCCTTTATTCAGTCACTGTGAAATGTGCTAGTTCTTTTGTTTATCTGTATTTTTAGCCTCTTAAGACAGACTCTTTATTGTGATTTTAACATGAGTTGCCTTGATCAACCAGTTCTATTTTTGCGCTTATTCCCAGTACAAGCTGACATAAACTCTGTTTCATAACTCTGCTCTAAATTTTTTTAATATATCTAACGGATGTAGCACTGAATGGTAATAGTATTTTTTTTTTCTTTATTAGATATGTATGCAGGTTTCTATAACTGGCACAGAAAGAACACATTTACTTTTGTCATGTAAACTGACAGCTGAAGCCAATAACTTTTCATTTAGGAAATGTATATAGAATATATGTTTCATAATTTTATAAACCCCAAATTATTTAAGTGAGGTTTTCTTTAATTTTGCTAAATTCAGATGACAAGAGAGTAGTTATCTAATACAGGAAGATAATACCTGCTTGCAACAATTCAACAGAACTACTTTGAACCTAAGCAGTTTGAA